CAGTATATAATCTGAAAAATGATTTTGGTGTCAAAATACACCATTCATAATTACTTGCATGACGTATCACAAAATAACCTGGGAAAAACTAACAATAAAAATTATCAGAAAATTGAGTTTTAAGTATAAAGAAACCTCAATCTACAATGTAGGTATTATGGGTATATATTAGGTCAATCCTGATATAATGAACCCCAGCCCATGAATTGCCGAATTTGTACAAGGATTATGTTAATAGCTAGTTAGTTTCTATAAAAAATATAAAAAACTGAAAATTAAAGCTGAAAGTTAAAATTATACATCATGTAGGTGAGGCACACTGTCTATTGTGTTTCCTCAATACCAAGTTTTATGTCTACATTGAATGATGCATAAGGGAGTCCTCATTTGATAACTGATGGGGAGGGAGGGGGCTGCATGAATTTGTAGTAAAAATACATTTGAAAGAAATGTGTGGATACTATATATATATATATATATATATGTATGCATTAAATATTTGCCACACCTATACTCAATTTCAAAAGAGTAACCTTTTACATAACGCAAAGTTACACTGTCATAATTTTTAAACAAACTATAAAGCTGTTGATGTTGAAGAAAGGTTGGAGATACTGAGACTTAAAAAAAGCGAAGAGAAAAAGAAAATGTCCATGACGATTTCATAATTTAAAATAATTGGGAAAATGTGAGTGACAAGTTGTCATCCGACATATGGGAATAAAATATTTGCACAATACCAAATGCATTCAGCCCTCCCCTTAGATTCCAAATGGGTGACCCCCTTACACATCAATGAACACTTCAGCATCGCAGAGACGTAGGTGTACAAGACACATGTATATTGTCCATACAGAAAATGGACACATGTAATGGCGAGCTGTTTTCAGATTACGAAAATCTTATTTTACGACATCAAAATTAAGAAATTTACAACATGATTGAGTGATAATACCGGTATACCAATAGCGTTCATTATAAATGACGTCAGTAAGGATTACGTAATGTGATTAATTATTCGTCATGTCATATTTAAACCGAACAAACAAATGAGTAAACAAAAACTTGATTAGTGACAGCTATATTTATAAATGTTTTGATGTGGAAATAACTTATCAATAATTTATTCAGGTAAAAAACAACTTTTAGATTCAGAACAAATCACTGAAAGGCCACAGTGATGTCTCACAGTTGGAGATGAGTTTGCACATGTCTTTTACTTATGATGTTTCATGTGCTAAATGGCACTCTATATACATCAGTTTCATTTTTAGTAAAATCTTGTCGTCATGACAAATGCTAATGTTTGATAACACTCTGTATTTACAATCATTATTTTAAAAATTTGTAAATCTGCAGACAAACAAAAGTACACATTGCTGAATCAAATTTTGTTCAATATATTATGTGAATGTTTGATTGGGTGCTGCTTTATAAATATTCATATAACAATACGACAGAAACGTGACAAAAGTGCTCACTAAAAGACATGGAATGTGCATGACCCTGAAATGTCACACATCCTGGTACTTGGCATGACCCCAAAAGGTCACACATCCTGGTACTTTATGTGCCCCCACACATGATCATTTACAGGGACAGATTTACTATCAATGTGAGTTTTGATTATATTTATGAAAAAACAGTTTAACAAAAAGTAGGAGACAGAATATTGGAATTTAAAGCCTAAAAAAGACAACATTTCTCTCAAAATGTTCCAGGATTGATGACCTGATGGGGTTATGCATAATGTCAGCTGTAAAATTTGCGACATACAAGTACAATATTACCATATTTGCTCTATTGAGGGTTTCCATATCCTAACAAGGTCATGCATGTTGAGTGACAAAGAACGCTTTCCTGTCATACTGACAGCATTGTCATAGCATGTGAGATTACTTACAGACGTTTTTATTATTTCTTTGTATATTTATGACTTATTTGCCATGGACATTGATGTCAATTTTTTATAAACATACAGCTAGAGGAATAGCTGAATAATGAATAGAAGAAGAATATTGACATGCACCAGTAATCTAAAGATGATGCTTCATTCAGAACTGATTTTGTTACAATAATAAAAAACAACAATTTTAAATAGATTGCATGGAAAACCATAACAATATACAAAATGTAGCCTTTTTTCAAACATACCGTATTCGACCGCGTTAGCGCCCAGGGGCCTCAACTCAGAAAATCACGATTTTTTAGGGGTGGGCGCTTACCCGAGCACCCCCCTCGAAAAAGAGTGCAAATGAAAAATTGTATTCATCAAGTGACAGATTACGTCTTTGAGGGAAATCAAATTACGAAATTAGTTGAGTCGTCATTGATTTTCACAATGAAGGAACAGAAATGATCACAAAAAATATGCACATTTTATTACAATATTAATTACGTACCACCAGAATTTACGAAATTAAAAACATTTGAGTCTGTTGGAACACAGTCGAAGTCAAAATTGTCATATTATCTCCACTGACAAAGGTGTTGGATCGTAGGCAAACTCTCGATGAAAATCACTTTCCGCCATGATGCATTAGCAGATTTCACCTGCAGCGGCGTCCTTTGACCTAATGGGTCAAGTTGGTTATTAACCAATCACAATGCAATGGAAATTCCCGAAGACTTTCCGGTAACGCAATGCCGAAAGTGAATTATCGATGTCCAAGTACGATCTGTTGGAATTGATTTCAGCGAATAAACGACATAGTTTTTCCAAAAAACTAGTAACTAGCCATTTTTGAGAGGTAAACTGAATATGGCATGAAATATTTACCGCATTTTACTTGTATTAACAGGTCATTGTCGAAGCGTAGGTTAGGCACGGTTACCGTGTTCTACGCATTCACAACATGTTCACAGCGATCGATATCCACGCTGTATCATATAAAAGCGATTACCAAGATTCGTTACGCAAGACCAAGTTTTAAATTAGTTGCATTTTGAAGGGGTGGGCGCTTTGCCGAATGTGACCCCAAATATAAAAATTGCGCAAAAGTGGGGGGTGGGCATTTGCCCAGGCATGGGCGCTAACGCGGTCGAGTACGGTAACTTGGCAGTCATGGCTTAGTGTTTAAAATTGCTAAATGAATGAACACTCAACACATGCACTTATACTGTAGAAAGTAGAACATGATCTGTTACAGGCTGAACCAAAGTATTGCAAGATGCTAGAAATGGTCTGTTGGTAGAGTAATGTAAAAGAACACATTATCTAAATGATAAAACTGTGAATTTAAAACCCACTGAACATGCCTGAAATGCTAAATCAGCGATAGAGGTGAAACATGTGCTCAAAACAAGTCATATTTCACAGATCCAGTATATAACACATGCAACTGTTGGTTAACATGCAAGATAGGTTTCTAAAGAGCAAATACAGTATACAACTTTAAAATGCAAATACAAAATTTCTAAATGTTATGTTGCCCACCAATGAAATGCAACATAAAATCCACCTTGTTTTCACATTGGTGGCCGCAACTATTGCACTGAAATGGATGTTGGTTTCCATGACAACCCATATGTATAATAAACATGACGTTATCACTAAATGTGATACCGCAGTGCTGGCAGTGCCAAGATTTGGTTAGTGTTGATGATGACGAGGTCACAGACTTTCGTGAGCATGGCCTAATAGCTAATGGCTGCTTATCTACACGGGTTTTGGAATTGTTTTCCCCTTGACCTGAATCTTCTTTATCTCTGTTCACTTTACTTGAAATCACTTCAATACTATCTTGCCAAAATATTGTTGCTGCTTGGTTTGATTCTCTGGGTAGCAGCCTTTGGCTAGCACCAGATAAATCTGAAGTAGCTTGGTTAGTTTGCTCTTTGTTGGTTTTGTCATCCATTGCTTTGTTTTCTCTCACCACGTCTCTGAAGAATCCATGTAGTAAACTTGCCTTTCTCTTTTTGCTCCCGCTAAGTTGTCCCCCAGTTTCCCCAACCTGAGTGGCTTCCAAACTAGGCTTTACAGATGCAGTATTTGAGATAGGTACTGTTGTTGGGTCATCCTGTCTTTGTAGCATTTGTTCAATGCAGTTCAAACTTGATGAGTTCAGTGAAGAATCCATGCTGCTCTCCTGAGTAGCATCTGATCCATCATTGTTCTCCTGGCTACGGTTACTATGGTTATCAGCCTCTCTATCTATAACATTTGTATTTAATGTGAGTGAGCATATGTTTGAAATCATAAGCTGATTATCATCAGATGCTCCTTCTTCTTGTTTTGTAACAAGTTCAATGTCATTTCCTCGACCAGGAGGGCAACCAGTAGATTGATTCATGATCCTGGCTGTAGCAGAATGCGGATGGGATGGATATGATCGCTGTCCAGCCCTCTGCTGTCTCATTTCTATTGGCGGCATCCCAGGAACTATTCTCCCATCATTTAGCACTACCCAATTGGGCTCACTTTGTTGAGTATTGACTACAACAGCTTGGGAGGAGGGTAACATTTCAGGAAAGAATCCGGGTGGGCCATCAGCTGATTCTGTGGGTCTGGACAGTGAGGAAGGGCCATGTTGGTCTCTGAGAAACCCAATGCTTTGTTCAAGTCGAGTGACCTGAGCAGGGTGCATAACTTCAGGCACTTTTGCAGGTGGGTTGATTGGTGGTACTGGTGGCGTTGCTTTCTCTCGAGTGTGCTTCTGTTTATGCTTCTGTAATGAGCTTGAGAATGAACAACGGAATCCACAGATGTTGCAAATGTATGGTTTGTCACCTTTGAAGTGGCTGGCAAAATGACGTTCTAACTTGTCTTGCGTGGGGAACACCACATTACACTTGCTACAGACGAGGGCAGAACTGTGAGTTTTGGCGTGCGATCTCATCGTCTGCATGCGACTGAAACGTTTACCACATACTGGACACTCGTGTGGTTTCTCACCACTATGCATACGCCGATGTAGAACCAAAGTATACTGACGAGTGAAGCTCTGGCCGCATTCTTCACACTGGAACGGTTTCTCACCAGTATGAACTCGCAGGTGTACTGTCAGATTGTACTGTCGGGTGAACGACTGATTGCAAAGTTCACACCGAAACGGGCGACTGTGGCCGAGTTCATGAACCCTCCAGTACGATCTTCGAGCAAATGTTTTTCCACAGTAGGAGCATTTATATTGGCTGTCGTTCTCGTGCGTCTGTTTGTGTATTGTCAAATTTAAATGACTATTGAAGACTTTGCTACATATATCACAGGAGAAGATTTCTAGCTGACCCTCTTCTGATGAACTCTGACCCAATACAGGAACTGTCTGAGCATCAAGTTCCATGTTGCACCTAGAGAATAAAATAAACAAAATACTGAGTGAAAATATGGGTGTTATATCATGCTATTAGTTTTACTACTATAGTAGTGGTATTAAATCATTGAATGACATAATGGAAAAAAGGTGTAGGTATATGCTTTTCAAGTATTGGTCTTTTTATTGCTAGTTTTCTTTTTAACATTTTAAATTTGTTTAAGTTTTGTACTCTTGTTCATTGGACTATATCGGCCTGTATTGTGTACGTTCCAAACAAAACATCCAAACGCATGTTCTTATCGAGATTGTAGCACTAGCAGTTGTCAATTCTTACTTGTGTAGAAGAAATTTGTCTAATTGTTTTCTGTCCTGTACTGTATATTGTGCGATAAATACATTGTGTAGGTCATTTGAATAAACCACAATTATTTATGACGATGCACTGTTTTGTGCAAGCATAGAACTAAATAAATAATTCCATGATGCAAGTAAGAAAACTGCTTTCAAAAGATTGCATGAGCATTGAACAACGTGATTCAATAAGTCCTTTCAAATTGGATAATACCATAATGCATGATGTTAGTTTACGGAATTAACACCTTCAGTTGAAATGATAACAGCTGTGTACTAAGTAAACAACTGGGCAGACTGTGAAAATTACATTTCCCATGATGCACTGGTGCAATCCCTGGGATTTTGGAGCCACACTTTAAGGAATTGACAAGGGTATTTCTCCCAGTTTCTATTCATAACATTAATCAGAGAGCTGTAGAGAGCGAAAAAAAAAGCATTTTAAATCTCATGGTTTTGGGTTTGTTTTAATCTTCTTTTAGCTCTATGGTTTTAATTGTGCAAAAAATTCATTTTGTGTATTCGCTATGTTTTTTTTTTATAACCTTATGGTATCAAATATACATCGCCAACACTGATACCATTGGACTGGGGTTGGATGCAAGCCGACCACAAGGTCCACATCGAGATCGCCGAGGCCAATACGCTAGTACTGACAATAAGTAATTATGTATTTGTTTCACAAAAGACAATAAGAACAATGGTTTCACGCACTGCGCCAGCCCATGGAAGGTAACATTAACAGGACAGGGCTTTGTTAATTTCGTGTATTGAAACAAATAGTCTATGCAGACGGTTTTTATGAACTAGCAAATTGTTTGTTATATGTTGTAGCATTGTCTAATCATGATCGCTCGGCCACAAACACGCATAGCTCAGTCTCATTCAAAACCAAACAAAAACACCCTCTGATGAAAACTGAACGGTCATGGATTCGGGGAGGTACATCGTACTAGAACGATGAACTGGGAGCCGAGTTGCCGATTTCTCCAGTCTCCGTCGATCCAAAGAAGCCATGATGAGCATGTTTTCAAATCGACGCCAATGTAAATTCAAGTCTACTGACATATTCTATCTTTCTTGGAGAGATATACATTACAATTACTGAATTACTTAACACACTAGGAGATAGTTAAAATAACGTTAAATATACTTTACCTTAAAATGATACACAACGCCGAAGAAATATAAACACCCTGGTGGAAAAAACACGTCAACAGACCAGTGGGGGTCAAATCATAACTTACCCGGAAGTAAGGTCGCCCTCGCCGGTGACATAAAATTTGCGTTTGTTTTGTTTTGTTTTGTTTCTTTTTAATTCCACTCGGGTTCATTGTATGCAATCCGTAATGTTGTTCGTCTGCACTGCTAGTATATATACTCCTATGTAATTGGGTTTAGAAATAGGGATGATTATCTCTACTTAAAGCGCGGTGGTCGTCGCGCAGCGCGTGTTCGAATTTCATGTAAATAAACAATGCATTTTACACGCGTTGTATACGTCGCAATGAGTCCCATATCGAACAGGACGCGGCGCGACGACTGCCTCCCTTTAAATGTTTCAGATATTAAAATTCAGATAAAATCTATGAACGGTGTGGATTTATTCAGTTTTTAAACACAGCACCTCCGGTGGTCAAGTATTAACGCCATGGTAACCTCTTTGCTAAGGATGATAGGATTATATTATTCCTGACCCAATATTTCATAAATTATAATTACACCAAATAACAATTACAACTTGTGTGGATTTTGGTAATGCTAAATTACAACGTATGACCACGTCATACATATTTTGATACATCGACAATATTATGTTTGTTTTATACTAATATTTTTGTCACGTACACTTCAAAACTTGAAATATCAGACTAACATTAAAAAAAATACTTCTGTTCGCTTGATTTTGATAATTCTTAACTCCGGAGCAACTGGATGTGTTATTTTGTTACCCTGGGTGACGAAATAGTAGAACTAAATGTGCTGTCTTTTCCGTGAGACCCGGTTTTTAAATGCTCCTTTTCACTGTTTTCTTCTTCTTTCTACAATTTTTCCGTTCAATGAATTTCATGCAGGTATAGAAGTTTTTATATCGATTTGATAGCTGAGACAAATTTGGCTAATCACAATGCAGTAAATCGGCCATTGATTGAAAGAAATTCGCAAAAGGCAATGGCCATTACAAAATTGCTTTAGATCCAATAAAATTGTATTTTTTTTTTATTAAAGTGAAATGATTTAAAATTCAAATGTCTTCCAATGTTTAATACATTTTTCGATATTTGGGTCAACCCTTTAGGCACACTGTAATTCAGACGGCCGCATTTTGGTCAACCCCCACAGACAAACTGTAATTCAGAAAGAGGTATTCGGGTGAACGTCTCAGACACACCGTACCTCACACGACTATATTTGGGTTACCGCCCCCCCCCCCTCAAGGCACACTGAAATTCAGAAAGCCGTATTTGGGCGAACTCCTTAGGCACGCTGTAATTCTGATGGCTGTATTTGGGTCTACCCCCTAGGCACACGTATTTGTTTTTTTTCCCATGATAAGTTTGTTGTATTTTTTGACACTGTGTCAAATATTTTTCCCCACGTTCTCTGTACAATTAATTTTCAATTCTGCTAATGCCCCTCCCCCAATATTTCTAATTCAAACAAGACTATCCGGTAGTAGCAAAAGAATTTGCCCTGATATTTCAGTGTATGTGCAACAAGTGTACAAAACTGTATTGTCTGTGCTGTGCCATCTTCACTAGCCAATGTCTAAGTTTACTCGGCCAAGCCTCGTGTAGAGGCCTATAGGTCGAAGACACGGGACCGTGCGATTCGAACGATGCTGCTGTGCAGGGAAACATTTCTGATTACAACCCTTGCATGATGGTTAGGGGTGCATTAGTCATGGTATCAGAGGTCACAACATTATCAGGTGTTACAAAGGCTGGAGTTTAATTCAGTGCTGTGTCACATTTTTTACTACACTCTTAGTTACTGTAAGAGGTTACATCCACTTCTAGTATTTATCATAAAGGACCTTCATTACATTATGTCACATTCACACTTGGTTAAAATAAACAAACAATATTTTTGTTCAGCATTTATTGTAAAAAAAAAAAAGAATTAAAACTCTAATTTGAGAAGAAGCATTTACACACCTGTACATAACACAATATCACAGAGTTTCAGTCAACTTGTATTGTCATTTTTAACACTAACATGACATAAATTCTATGATATATTTCATGTGTTCGTAAAACTCGACAAAACATTGCCACCCAGGATATTTGTCATCTACATTGGCTCACAAAATTATTCCAAATAAAAAAATAACTGAAAGACAGAGAGAGCAGTTTTACTGGAGATAAATAAAATTACTGCATATAAATATGAAACACTAATTTTTTGAAAATGCAAATTTTTCTTGCTGCAGCTTTTTGCTTATTTTGTCACATTTTTTTCTTCTATAATTTCTATAATTAGTTAACTTTAGACATATATGGCAGAATTTTACCTTAGCTACAGGCCTTGATCACATTTTTTGATAAATTATTGACAGATGACAATTTAGATCAAAGGTCAAAAGGTGAATCATGTGAATGTATGCAAATTAGTTCAAAACCACAAAATTTACAATCATGACAAAATACCTTTGGGTCTTTGAAAATGAACACTGATTGGGTTTGTTTTAATTTGGCTTTAAAAGGTGGTGGTCATCGCACCGCGCATATGCGACCTTTGTATTGATAAACATTTATTTTCCCACAATCCAGTGTGCTTTTCCAATGAAAATCACAAGTACGAGCTTTGACCTGGACGCAACATGCACTAATTACTGCTGGTGACTCCTTCGATTTCTTCCAAACACCAAAAAAATACAATGTTAAAGCCTGGTAACATCAAAGTCGCTATCTTTATTTATACGAGTCCCATATCTCGCGCATGCATTGCGTGATGACCACCGCCTTTCAAAGTAGAATATATGCTCTAATAGAAGTACTTGCTAACTTGTACTGACATTACAGTAATACACATCACGTAACTTTTGAGGGCACTGTTGGCACAACACAAAAATCATTATATCTACTTTTGTGCTTGAAGTGTTTTTGAACTTGAAATACAAAATACTGCAATCTATGAAAAATCAAAAGTACAATGATGCGTGACCTTTAAAGATCAAAGTACCAGGATGTACAGCTTTATGGTCCATTCATAAGACCCATATGTATGTAGACAACCATTTTAGTGACATTGGTATCTATTGGATATGATTTTCTACTTTATACAGAGCAATTAAGTGAATCTTAAGGTCATGTCATGTCATTTTATTTTATCTTTAAAATGTGAAATAAGCCTTTCTCATAAACAAGTATAGAAGCAAATAAATTACAAAAATCTACCGAAATAATTATGTGTTTACGTATTTTGGCATGAAAAGTACAATGCACAATCTATTTTTATCTCAGAAAAGCAGCATAAATATTCAGAATTCCACTCAAGTGCCTGAACCCATGTAAATGCAACATGTTCATTCCCTGTTTACCATACTTGGTATTACAATGAAGTAATTTGGTAAACACTTCTATATAAGGCATTAGGTCCATACACCAATGAAAATATAGATGTTTTTGCATTGTAGGAGACTGCATTGCTAATGTGACAACGCCTGTCATGGTAACCATGGAAACTTTCAAGTTTTCAAGCAAAGATCTTTTGAAAAAGTAAATAACAAATGTACAATATTTTAATTGTTTGCATTAAATGCCAAGTCCTTTCAAACAACAAAGAAAAGAAAATATTATGAAAGAACAACTGCCAAGCAGTACAACTCTAAACTACCAAGCCCCTCTCCCACCCCTACAATTGGTGTACAGTCCAATATTTCTGGCTTACACCAAGCCTGATTGACTCAAGATGAGCAAATAGAGAAACCTGTAAGAAACAAAATGACAGTTCCCACTTTAACTTTCACAATATATAGGACATACGTTGAAGGAGTTGGGTTCACATTAGCCATGCCCAACAAATAACTTACTCTAAAAACATTTTGTTTTTAAGAAATCAACTGAGCCAGTTTTTTTGTTTCTTGCATGAACACTTTTCTCCACAAAAAAATGATTGTTGAAATTACCCTGTAATAGTTAATTCACTGACAATTACTCATTTTTACAGTCGAAGAAAACAGAACCATTAATCTTGGTCAATGGCAGGTAATCATAGACCTTAAGGATAACACTTACATTTACTAAATTTTCCCTATATATTATATTTATCAGTTTTTTTCGAAGTTTTCTCATATTTCTTAATCTTGAGTCAATGTTTGTTGTCAAGAAGAGTCCATTGATTTTTACTGGCCAATAAATTGATAAAGCAATTTTCGCCAGCACATACATTCTTCTAGGATCGTAAGTTTAATATTTAATAATTGTAAAATTTCACTACAAATTAGCACCAGAATAACCAATCCAAACTACACACAACTTAAAATATACATATCTTGTATAAATGTAAATAGATCAAACAAACTATACAATCAATTTCATAGGTTTGTAGTTCTTATAAGCACTTAGCTTTTTCATTCAATTTCACTACAAACAAAGGATAAATAAAACAATACAGTGTCGCTATCACTGTACCAAAATGCAGCAATATTTGTTACACCTAAAAAAAATGCATAAATATATGAAATACAATACAGGGAAGAAATATCATTTGACATGCAAATTATTTTAAATAAATAATATTTCTTTTGCAAACGTAAATCGTTTTAATACAATGCCTTAAATATTCAAATTAAGTAATTTGTCATTTTTTCAAATTAAAGAAAATATTAAAAGACATGGAAATATATTTATTTATAAAGAAACTTAATTTTGGTACAAAAGTATATTTATTTTAGAATATGGTACGCATAAATGTTGTCAAGTTTTTATGATGTTTCTAATGAAATAAGCCAATACAATGCGGTTAGTATGCACAAACCGTGTTATCAATGATTAGATTGTTGCCATGTCAACCCTGCAAATAATTTTTTAAATAGCCGAACAGAAAAATGAGGCTTCCCTCAACAGAGCAGTGGAGCACAGGACCAACAACACACTGGACAATAATTCATAATGTAGACCTGATGGTAGGACTATTAGCAAAACAAACTATATCAGTGTGAGACCTTGCCATTTCATACACACGCCACATTACTTGAATATGGCTCTCACGCCACCAAGTTATGATAGCATCATCTTGCAATACTAGTAGTATTTCTACTCATTCAAGTCATTATGAATCATTGCTATATATCATTATTGAAAAACACTGTAGATAAATGAATTAGTTGCCATTATCTGATGAACGAAAACCACTGAGACTGTACAGCACAGCTTAATACACATTGATATGTTACACTTAATTATAGTTTATCTTGGATAAACCCAAAACACTGACTAAACTGATTGTAACTAAACAATCTGTGTTCACCGTCACATGCAACATAACAATTTTATGGCCAAATAGTATTTAAGCATTGTATTTAAGCAAATAATTCCTGTTTTGCTTATGTTTGTAAACTTAATGGCAGTGTCCAGATATTTTTGAATCAAAGTCTACCAACTGTACTTTTATTGAAACACATAAATTGTTTATGTCGGCCTAAATTCATTTTATGTGACACACCCATTAGTCTTGAATAAAAATGTCAAAAACGTGGTATAAAAAAATGCAGAAATGGTGATGCAAAACAAATCCGTGGAAATGGCGGTAGGATAATTACTTTATATAGTCATCAAATCCCATGATGAGAAAAAAAACAACGTTCTGTTCTGACCAAACTCCCAATATTTTGTACATTCATTTGTAGATATGTATAAGAGCGTGAAGATACTCTGAAATCAGCATAAAATTGGCGAGCTCTCTTTCGGATTTTCTGGATCAACATCATTCGGATCACCATCTTCGCCATCATTCGGGTTTAGTGGCGTTGTTTCATCTTCTGTTTTTAAAAGTAAATTTTCTTTTTTCTCTTCAAGACTTGCGAGTGAAGAGGAGGCGCTAGGACCACCAGAGTATAGCGTGTCATACATAGGATTTGAGAAATTGGTAGGCTACAGAAAATATAGATGGAGGAAACAAATAACAAACACATATTAGAAACACATGCATGATGGGTAAAATAAACATTTCTTACAAAAAAGTGGAAGCATCGCCAACATACAGGATTGCATTAAACATTTTAAAGAACTGTTAAAATTAATAATAGAATAGACAAAATGAAACGAGGGATAACAAAAAATGGCGTGCGCATGATATAGTTGATGACAGCGATTGACAGGTCCTAACAGTGTGCTGAGAGGCATAGTATACAGGAAGGGAAGAACATCAATTTAAAGAAGACAACAACCTAAAGATGCAAAATGAGTTTTGTGTTAAACTTCGGAATCATTCGCATCATCGTCATCTTCCAGTGTTGCGCTAACGATTGGCGTTCGCTCTGTGTAAGGTTGCTCCTTGGCGGGCTCAGTAACTGTTGTAATTGGAGTGTTTTCGTTGCACAACGTGGTCTCGTAAATTGGGTTAGAGAAGTTTGTGTCCAGCTGATTGAAAAGAGGAGACAGACAAAAAGACTGATGCTGAGTTTAAGTACAGTGAGTACAGTGGAAATATGGATGTATAAATGTCCTATGAACTTGATAGTACCACATCCTGCTCAAGAGTAACATAGCTTCTACAGTGGAAAACCCACATGTTCAGTCAGTTCGGTACAAATGTTATATTGTGGGTATAATGGTCTGAAAATATTCAGTATTTGCTGAAAAACGATTGTGTTAATTGTTGTATCTTTGTATATTATTTATGCAAGATGGCACTGAACACAGAATAGAAAAAAATGCAAATTTTGAAAATGCTACAAATTCTTGATATTTTTCTGAGTGAAAATTTCAAATAAATAAACCCTGAAAATGTTTACATGAAAACAAAGACATGTTTATTTCTTTGAAGCTTTAAACCTGCCACTACATAGTTTATTTCGAAATCGTTGCCGGATTGACATAGTTTATTTCGAAATCGTTGCCGGATTGACATAGTTTATTTCTAAATCGTTGCCGGATTGACATAGTTTGTTGAGTATGTTGGCGTAAAGCACTGTTTGAATTTCTGCGGGCAAGCAGTAAATTTTGGTGGTCATTTCAAATTTGAAAATGAGCAAAATTCATACAATTGAGATTCATTTTAAAAAATTATTTCTGGCATCCCATGTTATTTTTAAACTGCCAATAATTAGTTTATTTTTTTCAAAAATTTCTGTTTCAACAGTATGCTAGCTGTGTCTGTTCTTAAACCAAGGAATCACAGGGTTTTAAGTAAACACCCAACCATCTGAACTACTATTCAAACACCAAGTTCAGGCTCATTTCACTGGAACAATAATGTTATGTCTTTCTACATTTGAAGTGATTGTCTGAAAACATACAAAATTTGTGTTTTGGATGTCAGCTGAAATTATAAAATTCGTAGTTTTGCTTCAAAACACCCTGATTTATCACCATCGTCAGAATAGAAAGAAAGTTTCATTTCCACAGATAACTGACTGATTAATATCAATACAAGAAAATTCAAAGTACGTTAGTTTGGGCAATTTATTTACAATCATTTTATGGAATTTCATTGCTATAGTTGACTATACAGGCAAATTCCAAATATACAATGTATACGCTCAAAATGATAATATGGATAAAATAAACTTTTTGTTAAGTATTAGAGCATGTTACTAATTTGTCGTTTGAATTGAAAGCAAAATATATCATGAATGATGAAGTGATCGATTTGGCCATCAATTATTTTTTCAGTGAAAGACTGAAAGAAAAGAATTAAATCACAATAAAGTAATTTATTTTCGCTATTTTCACTGAAGGAATATTTAGTGAAAATAAAATCCAGTGAATATACCTTTTTTCCCTGTATTTTACATTTAATTTGTCAAAAATCAGTAAAATTAAATTACATACAAAACACCCTAAAAAGCTTTTCAGCGACAATTAATTCCAGCTAAAACAAAGTATTTTTCAGTAGTTAAATATTGAAAAATTATTTACACAAATTTTGATGACTTGACTTTTTCCATTTTACTGAGCAGGATTAATAAAAACAGGATTAATAAACTCTAATACTACAGCCAAAATGATAATATCAAATATGTTGAATTTTAAGCTGCTACATAACATACTCAAAATGAAACCTGAATCATGATAACCTTTGTCTTTGATTTCATCGACCAGACTTGAAGACAGACAGAATAAACAGATAATTGTAAAATGGATGATAATAGTTACCTTATCTGGGTCTAGATTAAATCCTGTATCAAGTAAATCCGGGGCACCATCATCATCTTCTGTTTGGTCGTATAAAAATGTTGGATTTCCAATTTCAACATTTGTGGCTCCTCCACCGTTCTTCATACGTTTATGCTGGAATCCTTGATATTGACTACAAAAAGAGGAATAATTTTGGCATTGAGCCAAGAAAAATACTTATCTCCAACTAGTATTTGTCATTTTTTAAAGTGGCACTGTTGTTTGAATTGTGTACAACCCAAAATTTTAGCAGGAGCCAATTTTTAGAGAACTGCTAAAAGCAAAATGCATATTTATAGGCAAGCTCATAAAAACTGCATTTGAAAAAGAACTATCACGTAGTACGTGTAAAGACCAATCAGAGAACAGAAGAACAATAAGAGCATAATACAATTTGCAGATTTGATGACAGTGCACTTTCTCTGTTAGGACAAAAATTTTCAAATAGAATTTTGAACCACTGTGACAAAAAACTTGTTATAAAAAACTCACATTTATATTTAACAATTTCAGTTTTTGTCAGAACATATACAAATATACAGGGTCAAAGGTCATATGTAAATGACATACCTTGCTCTTCTTCTGTACAGTATTATTCCAAGTATAATAATGATTACAATAACGAGTAATATTATGGGTACTGCTACAGCAATGGATGCTGGGAAAATAATAGAAAAATACTATACAGGTGTACTTGTACAGGAATAAGTACTAGTTGAGTAAAGATTCATTTGTATTGTCAAACCATAATTATAAAGGACTGTAGATGGGACAAGAGTAATACTGATACATATATTGACTTGCATTAGATGGCACTGGTCTATGTATGTGCCATGTGGTATCTGATATGGTTCCTCAACTGTGTGTACAACGAATGGAAAATACATTGTGTTTTACATGAAACCTGGATGCATTAAAAATAACTGCCATTTGGATTCAAAAAAGAAATATTCCCAAGACAGTCTAAAATGTCTAAGCAGTTGGGATAATTGACTTCCAACCTTAACAATTTTTAGAAACGTTCTAGTTATTTAGTGTATATCAGTTTTGTGAGGATTCAGGTGAAGCCACCTTTAGTATTGTCAAGATGGTGATGCAATGGACAATGTAATAAGTGGATTTCAACTTACTTGATGAATCAGAACTTTTTTGTTCATCAGCTGTTCCATGAATGGGTTGATCACAATTCGACCCGTCCCAATCGTCATTACAGCTAAAAAAAAATAGAACACATCCATCAATGTTATGGACATATATTTGGCACTTATTTGTGTTACAGCAGGCGCAAATAAGATTCATTCATACAGAAGTTAGCAAATTTTCCCATGAAAATTGCAATAGGGACTTTCTTATTGAAGCTACATTATCAAATATTCTAATTTTATGAAAACAATTTGCTACATTTTGTGACAATTCCACTTCCCAAGTCCCACTTATTTTTGTTCATATTGCAACATTGTTAAGACTACAGAAAGAAAGTTATTTTATTTGCAGTTGCCTTAGTTACAGTTATACTGATCATGTTTGTGCCTGCTGTAATTCACTTCATAAATGTTCAAAAGTAAAATTAATATTATTTTGTTGGAGGACATTACAAATCTGGCACTGATAACATGGTATTTCAATTAATTCACATTTTTACAGTACCGTGGGGGGTGGCGTTTGCCCAGACATGGGCTCTTACCCGGATAAGTACGGTACATATTGTGATTCTGCATGATGTTTCTCTGGCACTATTAGCTAATTCTTTTCAATACGTTGTGACATTTGTGTTGCCGACATGTGAATGTACTTAATGTTTCTGTCTCTGTTATTCTTTGTGAAACTATTAAAACAATTGTAAATGTTTCATTTTGGAAAGTTGAAAATGTAAATTGGTCGGCTGGTTGAATATATAATTGTTTGTTCCAAAAAAAGTTTGCATTTTAAGATACTTAAAATGTCCATAAAATCAAAATGATGTGTTAAAGTTGGCAGAATGATTTTGCATATTGTTTATTTGGCAGAGTTTTCCAATATTTATATTATTATACCTCAAAAAATAAATTTGAATGTCATAAAAATGTGCTTTTCATTTTATATGAAATTCCATTACAGTTTCCACAACAAGTTTCTGCGTTTCTTGATTTTAATATGGATAATGACACACACACACACATGCGCACTGATAATGAAATCTGTAACTTAATTATTTTGGGTCACGTCACAGATGTTGTAACTTACGAAATACTTCTGAAGTAACCCTCTGTTACATGTCTCCCAATATGATCGCTGTACTACATTTTTTGTGTGTATAATTTGTAATATCTTCGCAATAACCTTATATTACAATGCTTGCCTTCACTAACAAAATAAAACCTTTCTCATAAAGGCCGTAAAATCTGTATTAGAAGCCGCATCCATAATTGAAGCCGCACCCATTCTTTTTAAACATTTGGGAACCAAAAATTCATTGTTTCTAATATGTGTAAATGCTCTAATAGAAGCTGCATCCCCTCTGTTGCATTGTACCATTTTAATAGAAGCCGCAGCTTCTAATACAGATTTTACAGTAAGTCACATTCATTCATGACTACATGCACTTTATGCTGGCTTATAAAACCACCACTAGAGAGTGCTAATCATACTTACTGGCAGACAACATCCCCTCCATCAGTGTGAACACAGATTCCATAAAGACCACAATTCAAGTGTTCACATAACTCTTCTGATGCTTTTTTCAATTCACATTGGTTTCCAGAAAACTCAGCTGTACAGCTGAAAAAAAATAGAACAGAACATTTCACTCACTTACCATCATTGAACAGGTTAACATTAAAAAATATTAATATTCGCTAGAGAGGAAGGTTGTTTATAGACTCGTTTCACATTTTTTTCCTCAAAAAGACAATATTTCTCTGAGACCAGCAATGTGAACGAAAAATGTAATTTGGAGGATTTTTAGTGGTTTGGAAGATGGTTCAATTTTAAACCCACCATCTGAGATGATCCTCGAGTAGAAGACCAACCCCTAATTTTCCTGATTTTTCATGTTCAGGCCCCTTGGCTTATACTCTGGAATAACGGTATATTTTTTAAGGAGCCAGTTTGCTTTTGATATAGTAAATAACGTAACAGACTACAACACTCAATTCTCAGTAGATTTGATCATAGACCCAAAACCCAAAGGATTTAATTATTTCAGATTTAGCAATTCACATGAAATGAAACTGAAACTAATGTGAGGTAAATTACCTGCATTTCAGTTTATTATTTGTCTTGCTACATGTACCGCTATTTTTACAGTATCCTTCACAAGACTTGTATTCACAGCTAGGACCTTCCCATCCAAAATAACACCTATAGAACAAATGCAACAAATATTTCATTAACATTTTGAAAACCATTATTAATAATTTTCCCCTCCAAAATTTGGTGCAACATTTTGTGTATTTTTTTTGCGTATTTCTAAAATTTTATTGATAATTTTAGACCAAATAAAAATATATTGTAAGTCGGTACAGTTCAAAATTTATGAACAAATTATAGGAGTTTTTTTCAAGTCAAGTTGACTGTACCACAAGATGATTTGCAGCATTGTCAGTATGTTCATTTCTGTATTAGCATAACCTTATTCGTGGACACCTATATCATAAAATTTATTGGCAAATATTTATTTTCTGTGCATAAACATAATCTAAAAAGTGTGTTTTCATCAATTATTTTAAGTGAATTTCTGGCAATCTACTGTTTTTTAATCCTTGAAAATTTGAATATTGCCAAGCAATATCAGTAAAATATATTTACTATTGTTTTATGCAAAAAAAATTATGACCATTCTATTATGCACATAAAATACAGGTCAATATTATACTTATTGTACATAAAATACAGGTTAATATTATACTTATTGTACATAAAGTGCTACAATATTATTGCACCTGCCAATCATTCTGATAAAACATATTGACCTTAGAAAGGTGAATAATTTATTTATTGTACATCATGCAGTACATTTACAGACGTAAACATGTTCAATACATCAGACGACATTATTACAATAATTACTCACTTGCACACTGCCATCTTCGTTTCTGACGTTTTATCATAAACGCAATCTCCATGCTTACATTCACATTCATCAGGGTGGGCTTTTGCATGATCGCAATAACGACCACCGTATTCTTCAGTGCAACTGAAATCAAATTGTGATTGAACAGAGTACGTCACATGATACTGTTGAAAAGTATGTGGTGTTAAGGTAAACACTATTATATACAAAAGTAAAAATATTGTTACATGGATTGAAAAAATGAAACCAAAATATTGGGTCACCGTACTCACCGTTTAGAGAAAACCAATAAGATGACATGTTTTGTCTGTTTTAGAGAATTTTTAAATTCTTTTCTATGGCAAGATAGATCTAAATATTAAAAATTTATTTTACTCTTTGAAATATGGTAAAGAAAGATGCATAGTGTATGATAAGCTATTTTTTTGATGTCTAGCAGTATTAACAAATTCACAATGATTTTAGTGAGTTTTTAATGGAAAATCTGTTTTCTTTGTGGTCTATGCTAAAAATGGTATTTTATGCATTTTTTTCTCAAAAAATATTGAAACAAAAACTCCACCTACCAAACAGGGACACAAAATATTGCCATTGCGATAGCCACTAAAATATGAACATATGTAAAATAAACTCTTGAGCAGCAGTCTATCTTAAATTTGATGAAACATATTGGGCAGACATGCAGAATAAAAGAGTAAATAAATGTCATCAGAGTGGGCTGGTCAGTTGGTATCAGAGTGGGCTGGTCAGTTGGTATCAGAGTGGGCTGGTCAGTTGGTATCAGAGTGGGCTGGTCAGTGGTATCAGAGTGGGCTGGTCAGTATCGGAGTCTGGTCAGTTAGTTCACAATCCAAAGTACAATGTACTTACTTGCAGTTTATTGCACCATCATTGTCAAAACATACACCACCATTCTGACAAATTCCTTCACACAGGTCATCGAGGCAGGAAGTTCCAGAGAAGAGAGGTTTACAAGAACACTGAGCTGATTCACCTAAACAAAACAGGAGATATAAATAAAGATAGATACTATGGTTATATGTGATAAAGAAGCTTAACCTTTTCACCACAAGACTTTCTTATCCAAATTTTTTTGCAATTTTTTTTTTATAATCCAACAGACAAAATTTGAGTCAATTTTCAGTTTTTACTCAAAAATCTTGTTATTTTTGTCTGTGCAGTATAAATGTATAAACAGGACTATTTGTGAATTTGTGATGAAACAAGCAGCCTCTCGGCTGAGATAGCTCCGCTGTTAGCAATGCACATTTCAATTAAAGAACAGAAGATATCATAGAAAATGAACAATACGTATAGTATCAATGCAATGAGACTTGCTGTTTTCAACAAGAATTCAAAAATATCATTTTTCACCATAAATGATTTTGGTTTTTAATAAGAAAATATCATTTTTTACCAAAAATGACAAAAATATTCACCAAAATTAGATAATTAAAGATACAGTACAGTTCTCGCGGAAGCTTTGGCTTCACTTCAGCGTCAGCTTCGCTCCAGCATCGCATCATTATGGCATTGTTATGGCTTCAGCATCGCTTCAATGTCGCGACATTAAAAAGTTAGGCGATTATCGCTTCGCTTCATTGTGGCCTCATTATGGCGACAATGTGGCATCAGCATCGCTTCATCAAACAAAGAAGTACTGTACTCATTTCCCCCAAACTTCTTGACCGCTTCCGCTTTTGACCGGTCAATTTCCGTTTTATTTTCGACCGTGCAACAATTCGGACTACTAAAAATTTTCTGGTTTTCATAGATCACGGTTACTAGTTTAGTAACCGTGCATAGATGTTGAACAACCGTCAAAAGTTCAAATACTTTTTGTTTTAACTATCTATAATTATATGCACGCAATCTGACCCTTTGACCTAGATTTGGCTGGGATTGAATATTTTATTTTAGACAATATTCCGAAGTGACGCACTGCTACAAAATGTATTCAACAGAAATACAACATGGTTGTCTGGGTTTCTTTTCCTGATTGTGTTGA